ATCATTCTGTCCTTATTGTTTCAGCAATCTCAGTATTTTCTTTCTTTCTTCTTTTTTCAGAAGCTGTTGGATCAGCTTCTGCAGAGGAGCAGCAGCTGAATGACTGGCAACAGATGAAGATGATGACATGACCAAGGCTGCATCATTGCATAACAGACGGAAGAAGTGAACTCTGCCCTTTGACTGTGCTGATATGAGTTAAAGTATCAGTGTAGGTCATGATATGAATCTAGCCTTACCTCAGCTTAAGCATCTGCGTGTTTCTCTCCTTTACCATTGCGTTTGTGTTACAGAGCTTAACATCTGTTTTTCTCAAATACAAGAACATGCCAATCTTTCAAAAACCGAGAAGGTCGTCTAACATCAGTTTCTGATGTTTTGAAGGGTTTTTACAATCCCCAAAGACTCTTCTGTCAAAAAAATTGAAAAAAAGAAAAAAAAAGACTTTTAAACTGTCCTTGTTGCAACTCTACCATATCTCCCAATCCAACAAAAGATGGTAGGCAAAAGTTGCACTTCTCTTTGCCCATTTAAATAGAGAAATACCCGATGATAAAGTGTTTTTAATAAGTTTGGGTTTAAAATAGTTTTTTATGCAATAGAGAAATTCTTTGGGATATATCTATGAAGTTTTTCTTTCTTAACATTCCACAAGTGGGTTGAGGGTCAGAAACAGCGTCCATTGAGCCAAGACCAAGTGGGGTTGAGGAAGAACCAAGACAAAGGCCAGAAAGCTGAAATCAGAGCACAATACAGTCTGATATGATTTGTCCCCAGATCGACACCTCTCCTCCATAATAAAGGGTCCCCAAGTGTTAAGAAAGTTAGGGTAGGCTTTGGACAGAGTATAAAAAGTTTTTCCAAGGGGTATACAGGAAACTATGTCGTTTTGCCATTTTTTTCAAAGCAGGGAGGGGAAACTGATTTCCACTCTCTGAGGATCACCCTTTTTGCTATGACCATACCGAGCCTGTGGGCTTGTTGTAATGCAGGGGGAAAAGTCAAAAAATAGTTGGAACAACCCAATATCACAAAGAGAGTCAGGGATCCGCTGTCTGCTGTATATGCCGCTGCACAAATGAAAAATGTCATCCCAGAAACTCTTGGGGAATGACCAGAAAGGATGACCTGGGTCCCCGTCACTTGGCTTGTACTTATAACAGGTAGCAGAGACGGAAGGAAAAATACTTCAGTTTGGTCTGATGGATGACTTTAAATGGAATAAGTCTAGCATTGATGTAGGTTTTCATCCCATCTAAATCATCAGAAATAGCCTCTCTACTGTCCTTAATCCATGCCTCTTTAATGTGGAAAACAAGGCCAACAAACTGTGACATTAAATGTTTGGAGGTAGGGATTCTAGTCATAGGGTCATGGAGGTTGTGTTTGGGCATTATATCGAAGTCTGATCTAATTTGCAGATACAGAAAAAAGTGGCCAAGACAGAGGTCAAATTTCACCTGAAATTGAGCAAAAGATGCAAAACAGTTGTTAATGTAAAGATCCTTAATAGTAGACAGACCTTTATCTGACCGGTACAAAAAAAACAACATCCATTAAACCGTGTTTAAAAGAGGAGTTCTGGCATGTAGGAGCACAAATGGACAATTCTGAACGACCCAGCACACCCTTGATTTGCAAGAGAATCTTAAATGAATTGTGCAAAATCAAATCATCCTTCAGTTGTTTGGTTTAGAAAGTAAAATGTCCGTTAAGGAGGCCTCAATAAGTAGTGCAGCATTACAAGACTGAGTCTCAGGCCAACTGGGACAGAGGGCGCTCCTCTGCCCTGCCACAGCTGGAGCAGGATTCGTGGGGAGAATTTTTAAAATCCAGATGGGCAGAAGAGTCTTTGAATATGCTGGAAAGACTTTCAAAACAGCGTTGAGTGTTGTTTTTGAAATATTGGCATTGAATTTTCTATTTAAAAAAAAAACAGATACTTACCTCTGTGACCCCGCTGTCCTTTCCACTCTTCTGGTCTGCAATTACAAATGAAGATGGGAAAAATGAATGTATGAAATCATGTCTCAGCATTCTGTTTTTGGTTGTAATCAAATATCCCACTGACTGATATCCTCTTGATGGAATATCTACACCAGTAACGTATTTTGTTTATCGGTGTTATCTTGTCTTCACTTGATTGCAAATTGCCTTTCTCTGCAGAATACTTCATGTAATGGGATGCAGAGTAACCCTCTCGCTGCACGACAAAAGCGCTGATGTCCTCACCCAGCCACTTTCACATGATCTCATGTGATGCGAAGAAGTGATATAAGACAAAATAATTCATTATGCTGCACGGTCCCACCCAGGACAGTCTTCAGCTGTCCTCATTACACAACCAATAAGCAGACAGAAGCCTGAAATGGGCTCTGCTATTATTCAGTGCCAGCTATTAGCCGTAAGATGGAGGAATGTGACCCCTTCTCACTGGAAATGCCCCGTTAATGGACAATGCCGATTTGAATGGAGCTTCTGTCTCTGTCTTTGTCTCATGATGGACTGGGGGATGCCAATACAGATTTAGATTTGTGTGTTTTGATCCAAAGCGAATATGCTGCTCGACAACATGATGGAGCTGGGCATAAATCAAAAGTGAGATGTGTGGATATTTATTTTTGGAATAATAGACAACAGAGCAGATGCCCTTTTCATTACCCTTAATTGTTATTTCACTCATTAGCCTTTAAGTTGGGGTTCTTTCATAGTCCAGCTGTTTCATCCATCTAAATTTGCGCTGATGTCTTGGAGAAGACAGATAATTACTACTGACTGTTTCTGTAAACCTTATTTCAAGTCAGTGCATATCCATGTGTGGGTGTATTTGGACAGTGGGAGTATATTAATAACAGCATGGTTTATAATTATTCCCTTCTTTCTAAAATGAGCAAATTTAGACTATAATTTAGAAAAAGGCAATTATAAACCATGGATGCTGCTTAAAGAACATTATTTACTGTGTGTTGTTTTCTCTGTTTAAAGAAGGCTTTATTCTTCTGGTTTAAGTAGCTTTGTCTATCCACTGGTCTAATGACGAAGATGGTTTTACTGTGCAATGTGATATAAATTCTTTATACTTCAACTATGTATTTTATATTTTAATCTAATTATATGTATTTTATATGTGACTTGTGTGTAGATCTCTTTTGTTGAATTTCCCTTCAAATGTGACAGTAAAATCTGAGTCCAAAAAGTCTTTTTTTTCCCATACTAGATTGACAAAATAACAGGAGTGAGCTGGAATAACTTCCGTAAAGTTGAGATTTATTATTGAGTACTATCTGTTCTAGCACACCAACAGAAAGTCCTGTTTTACTGCCTGCTACTCTCTGCGCCTTATCATCTTCCTCGAAACACCCCCCGGTTCTTAAAAAGAGCAAAAGATCAGCTCTTTGTAACATCCTTTAGCTGAATGTTGAGTTCCAGTGAAATCAGCATGCAGGGAAATACTCCTCACTATTCTTTTATTTTCATTCATATTTTGAATCTGAAAGGACACTTTTTGAGCCACTGAGGTTTCTGAGCATCGTGACACTCGGTTGCAACCTATAGCTCCTACTTCAAATGGTGTGAGGCAACAATGTGTGCTGCTGTGACTGTACCTTAAACCTTCATGCTGGGAGCATATTGTACACGGAATGCTGTACTTTCATTTTCTCCTGTGGGGGAGAAAAGGCTTTGAAGAAACCCAGCCTGCATGTGGACATGTGCATGTTTTCTGCCTGATTCTCATTCTGAAGTGGACGGCCATGTGGTGCAATGCAGAGTGCACACACTGAGGAGCATAACTGAGCAGAGCCACAGTGTTTGAATACACCATGTGCACATGTCCCTTTTCAATAAGCCCATGTAATCATTTTGTGCATCACAGCAACGTAAACTCAGAGTCTTAAGCTGTTTGAAAGTCTTGTGAATACAATTGATGTGTTCAAAGTAAAACCACTGTCTGATGTCTGTTCTCTGAACACAGAGAACAGAGCTCGGAGCCATCAGATTCAGCTGGCTTTGCGAATCTGCATTTTTTTTTTCACACATGCATTCACAAGAGCATCTGTGTGTGAGGGCTGTGTAGGCTTTATTATTTAAATTTACACTCAGTGTGGGCTGCCACAGTGTGTGTGCGCCAATAAAGCTCGCTGGGTCAATCACAGCAAGGGATATAAGAGACAGGGCGGAAATGAATTTCTTTGCCTTCAAAATAAAACGCTAGGTTCGCTCACCTTCGAAACCCTTTTAAAAAAAATACACAATGACATTTGGGTTAAATTGAACGTCTGTAAGGTAAGGGTGGACATTGGTGCAAAACTCAGTCTGTAATTTGACAAAATCATAACTCAAGGTGCACTTACTGGGATTTTTGGGACACCACTCACAACTTTTGACAGCGCAATGTAAAAGTGCTTGCTTACTCTGACCAACAGTCCAAAACATATTGCTTCAGATTTTAAGTTTGAAGTGATAAGAAGCAAAGATCAGCAGCAAATCCTTACATTTCAAATTTTGCATTGTGGTTTGCTTAAACAATTTAAATGAGGTTCAGGTAGCTGCCAGCTTTTTTTTCTTTTTGTTTTGTTTTTAACTGCATGTCACAGGGAAAGTAGAGTGAAAGTTAAGTTACGGAAAAAAGTAAACATCGAGTCAACATTATTTTGTGAAACTTTTCCTTAGTCAACAATGATGATTTTTCTTTTTATATTGTAATAGATTAAAGGAGAGGAAGAAGTTAATTTGATGTAAGTAATTTTAACCTATATTCCTTAAATGCATTCTTTATTTTAATCTTATTGTGATGTGTAATGTTGGGTTTTACTTTGAAAGCTTGTACCGGAAGTCATAGCCTATTTGTTTCTGGTAACGTGACGCTGCTCGTTTAATTATTGTGGGCGCTCGAGGTGGCTTTAGGACCTCGCGGAGCGCCTTATTGAAGCACATGGTCCCCACTCATAAGACAACACTTCTCGCCAGTAATTGCCCTGGAATTGATGTCATTCCAGTGGGCGACTGACACAGCGGCGGCTTGTGTGTTTGTCAATGTTTTCATCGGTCCTTTCACTCACATTTCTCCACTTTTTTCCGCGCGCTGCAGCCGGTGACTTGGACACCTTTGAATGGGGAAAGTGTGCGGAGTTAAAATCAGCTGTGCTCGGGATTTCCGAAAGCACCGCTCACACACTTGATCATATTTCAGGAAGTCGTTTTATTTTTTGGGGGAAAGGGGGGTGGGGGGGGTTTGCTCTTTGCTGCTCATCAGCTGTTGTTGGGCTGAGATTGTATGATGGTTCGCGCTGCAGTCAAACAGTAAAGCCAAGCTAGTCTTGTCCACCGCTTCAGCCGGGCATCATGAACCCCGGGAGCCGGAGCCTGAAGTTTGTGATTTTGACAGCACTTCAGGCTTTGTCTGTCTCTCTATCGGTGTGTGACAGCGTGCTCTCCACATCTGCTGAAGGTAAGAGGTGAAGAAGATGGTGAAGGTGCAGAATTTACTTTGCATTTATCAAAGGTCCATGTGCAAAAGTAGTGAATAGACTGTTCTCCTAATTGTTTTATGTCTTTTCGCCTGGAAGAAAAGGCTTTTATTTGTATCTTGAAATTAACCTGTCTGCATTTGCCATTGTGCATTTTGCTTATTATGTATCTATTCTATTCTATATTCATGTCCCCCCTTTGGCTGTTTTGGGTACACCATGTTTTATGAAAGCCTTTATTAGAACAGATCTGTAACACATGTTCAGGCAGAATGAAACATCTCCAGTGTAAACAAGCTTTCTAAATCCATTCTCTCCAATAGAGCTCAACTGTATGCCAATAGCAGAGCATCAATTTTTTTTTAGTTCGCAGTCCACCCAGTGTGTGTACACCTCAGAGGAGAGGAGACGCTGTATAATTGATGATGCTGAAACTCTCTTTGGTAATCAGTGGTAGCACTGGAAGCACACTTCAGTTTTTCAAGGCACTTCAAACATACTTCAGTTTTTCAAATGCAGATGAATTCCAGGGTTATTTTCGTAGCAAACGTAAAATCTAAGTCTCATTGTTGGTTTGAACTTAAGCAGTCAAGCAGCTTTTTTTTTTTTTTTTTTTTTTTTTTTGGACAACCTCTATATTAGGGTGTTTATTGTGTTTTTGATATCCCAGCAACAAATGGAAAAGAGCTGCTTTTGTGAGCTCTGGGGAAATGTTCAAATGTGATGTCAGCGTGTGTCTATGCTCGTGTTTGTGTCTCATACGGTCTCTGCAACACCTTGGGGCTGTGGCTCATGACATCTCAGTCGCCAGTGTTCCATGCCCTAGGTGAGATTCAACAAGGATGCTACACAGCAGTTTTAGAAACGGTGGTGAGTGGAGGAGCTGTACTTTTACCGAAAACTTTTGACATCCAAATACACTGGCAGTCACGACATTCAGTGTGGAATCCTGGGAATTAATTACCAGCAAGGGCAAATGTGTAAAACTTGGGATTGAAGCATGAGGAAGTTGTTCATTTATTCATCAACCGTTCACCATCATCAGAAGTTGGCCTTGATGCGTCTTTCCCGTGGGTACAGACTCGTTGAAAACCATCATCGCCAGTTCATTTGTGGCGTGTGAAAGTCTGGGCAGATCAGCATTGGCAGGATATTTACCTGCTTGGGGGTAATTCGGGCTGATTAAGATAAATGGATGGAGTGTGAACAAGTCCTTGTTAACCCCCACAGGAGTTGGGGTGAAATTTAAAAGAGAAAAATAATCAAACTGTGTGAAATGCAGGGTGATAGCTGACTTCAAAATTAATTTGAAAATGTCAAAACTTGAGAGTGGAATTCTTATTTCTTTCTTTCCCTTTGCACCACTTATAGACAAAATGATTCGATTCATGAAAATAATTAGCACTTCATGTGCAGGAATCATTAGTGCTCCCTTTTATGAGCCTCCACTTTGTCTCCTGCACTTTTGTCTTTGCTGTCAGAATCCAAGGGTGCTAAGAAAAGATCTCCATGCAATGTCATATTTGCATTCATATTTCATGACACCGCTCCTTGAGCTTTCTTGTCGGTTTTCCTCTCCCTGTTTGTCTTGCGCGTGTTTCTGTCTTAGCTGGGGATCGTTTGTGAATGATTTCCTCCAATGGTTGACACACTTAGTGTCAGCCAGCATTTACTAGCCAGCTGCACTGCTTCAGCCAACATGACTGTCTCTGCCTCGAGCGCTGCATGCAGCTTGCGTGCTGCACGCTCAGACTAATGAAAGCTGAGCTGAGAATATATTTTTGGACTATAGTAAAACATTCCTTTAGCAAACAGTGTCCTCCCCCAGAGAGACATTATCACCATGATGTGACCCATCTCGAGTCAGAGGCATTTAGTATCTTTTCAGTATGAATGGGTTCTGATCTTCCAGATGAGTGGTTCAGGATATTTAAGACCCAGGAGGCTGGTAAGAAGAGTCGGCCAATGTGTGGTTGTGCATTAAGACAGATTGATCAACCAGTTGCTGTTCCGCACTGGGGATATTTATATAGGAGGGGGAGAATAGCTGGACTTTTGCTCATGTGGCCTGACCCTACATGTGTTGCATTAATTTCTTCGAAGCTGCTTTGGACTCATTTGACCCCCCCACCCCACAAAAAAAAACAAAAAACACGCAAGCTGAAACCTGATGCTACCTCTGGACTTTCTCACTGGAGACTATCACACCCAGACAGGTCATAGTTGAGCTGTGCACGCCTCACTCCCGAACGTCCTCTCTCTCGTCTGGTCATAGCGCCCTGCACTTGGCTCAGACATCTCCTGTCAGTGTCAAATCTATCTGGGGTAGTTCATGTTCCACTCCATTAGTGTTTCACAAAAAAAGTCAGTGACAGTCTATAAACCTGTTCTGGTCAGTTCTTGTGTTTAGTTTTGTAGTACTCTTAGGTGTAGTGCAATTAATCTTTACATTTCACTTGTTCACATGTTATTTTGCATGGTGGTTGTTTGGCCAGAGTTTTCTCTGGTCACAAGAAGAACTACACAACAAGATGAAAAACATATCTATAAGAGACATTTTTCACAGCAGGAAAAGTCAAGGTGCAATCAAGGACATTAATACTATAGCACTCCCAGGGCTTGGCTATTCTGCATGCTGGTTCACTGTAATGGCTCACTGGAGCACTTAATGGAACTGAGCTAATGTTATTAGTTTCACCTGTGCTTCTCCTGCAAGTCAACAAGTAAAAATGGTCCATTATGACCTTTTTAAAGTAACATTTTAGCTGTATGTTCTAGCAACATTAGCATTCATTTGAACATGTTTCTGGCCACCTGACGAACGTTAAGTCGTTCATTCTTCTAGCCCTGGTTTGGTCTCCACCGAGTCCTGAGAATTTATGCTTTCCTTTTTGATTGGCTTAAAGGTAGCTAGTTGCTCAACTTGTGTTAGCTAAAACGTAGCTAGTTGCTAACTGCTGAGCAATTAGCATATGGTGGGTTATGAGAGATTTCTTTGCTGAGAACTGCTACATTTAGCTACTGGAGCCAAATTAAGAATCACAGCAATTACTAACTTGTTGGCCACTTGGGGGCAGTAGACCAAGCTGTAAATACAACATTGAAAGATGAATTATTACCACATGGAGTAATTGCAGTGTACCTCCTTTAAAATTGTGTTTCTTGCCACCTGATTAACGTTAGTCCAATATGATCCTAGTAGTCATTTGATCCTTTGTAAATATGAAAGTTTGATTTGTGCAATTTTAAGTCTATTTTTAATATTTACACCTAATCACCTCTTTGACTGAGATTGAATTTCATAAATATGTAAGTAGTTTTAGCAGATATCTTGTGTCACACATTTTTAATTTACAGGAAACTGAAAATGCACTTTTCACATTGTCCATGTTAATTTATTCATATTTTTTTTTTGTAACTTGAAAATCATATCAGCATCTACCTATTTATATTTCTCCAAGATCTAGAAGAGAAATATAAATGTCAGCTTTTGAAACTCAGTAAGGTGTAGGTGGTGATAAGCATTAAACATTTGAAGAGAATAGAAACTAATTGCAATTCCAGTTTAACACTGTATTACACTGTAGATCCTGAGGGAAACATTACCCAGTTTGACTAGATTCCATGTGTATATGCAGTCATTGTCTTCCATTGAGATTTGAAACACATAATTTTACGTCTTGGCTCCAGATAATATATCTTCCAGCCTGACATGCACCATCCACCCAGATTTCACCTCCCTATTCTGCAATGAGAAGGGACAAGCCGGCCTATGGTTCTTAATAGTAAGACGTGTTAACAGGAACAAGACAGGTCACCTCCTACCTGGAAGAGTTTCTAACAAACTGGCCCAGCGGAGGTTCAGCTGCTGCCAGTTGTTTTCTCTGAGTCTGTCTGAGTTGTGTTTCACAGGCGGACCTGTGATGTATTTTTAAGTGAAACAGAGCAAGCAGCACATCAAACACCTACACATAGACGAAAGTTTCAAGTAGAACATTGACCAATCCAAGATTGTTAAAAGTTTGGGCTGGTTGTTTTCACGTTGTCAAACACCTAGTGAAAGGAGCATTTCTTTATTTCTTTATTTATTTCTTTATTTATTTGTATCATAAAATACAGAGAGCTCAAGCTGAGCGCATTTCAAATGCATTCAATTTAAAATGATATAAAGAACATCTGCAAATTCTCAGCATTTGTGCAGAGGCTGGGAGGTGTCGTAGAGGAAAAAATAAAACTGATTAGTGCGCACAAATTACCATTTTGAGAACACAAATCATTAAATTGAGAGCACGAATCACTAATTTGAGAGCTGTATGTTTGCACAGCCAAGAGCTAATGTTTAGCCTTTTTGCTTGATGAATAACTTAAATAAATGCAATTTAAATATCAAACTTAGTCTTGCATAATTTGCTCAATCCACTAATCAAGTAAGTGTGTCAGAGCTATTTCATTTTCATCAAACACTGATGTGACTTTTTCCACTGAGGTAATGACACGGTTGTCACTACATGCTGCATGATAACCGATAACATAGAGATGTGTGATGATATAGCAGCTGCCCCTCCTTTCCTTTCTCTGTCTTTCTAAGACGGCTTGAAGTTTTTTTTTTTTTTTTTTTTTTTCTTTGAATGTGCGCCAGACATGTGCTTCCCATGACAGAGGAGTTCCAAGGAGTTACAAGCTTTCACACAGCTCTGCTCCAGAAGCTCCCCTCCGACTCTGACCTTTGTTGCTGAGGCACGCAGGCTCCATGCCAGGCAGCGAGCGCAGCCTTTGCAGCTGGGGGGCGTAATGGTGTTACCCACCGGGGGCGTAACGGCACTGGTTTCTCAGGACAACATTAACCTCCTGCTGAGCCAAGGGGAATGTTTTTTGCGGCAGGACCATCTATTTCCCATAGAGTAATTATGTCCTGACATCAGGCTAGTGTGACAGTAAATGAGCTCGGTGTACAAGGTGGGGGTAGAGAGATGGAGTCAGA